CCTCATTGGTAAAATGTATTAAGTCATAACTATCTCAACTGCCTCCCTTTCTTTCTTGGGAGCTTGTCAAGCAGACTGAAATGTCTACCATCATAGTTTGTAACCTTTGGGTTAAGGATTTCTCCCAGAGGCACTGATTAAAATCCCTAGCTACTGGCAAGTGTAATGCAACAATACATCTATTCATTTGTACACTGATTCAAGCCAAGTGGGTGAACATCACATGTAGGTATTGTGCCAGGTGTGGGCTAGAAGCCACAATGTCCCCTTCCTCAGGAACAGCCTCCTGGTGGAATGACAGACAGAAATATGCTGGAAAGGAAGTGTGCATGTGGAATACACTGGAATCTCTGGGATAGCAGAGCCCAACAGAGAGGCAATTACAGAAAGAAGTGACAGCAAGCTTGAATATCAGCAAAGAACAGACATGGGAAGATGGGAGGCAATCCTCAGGAAAAGTAGGACTGAAAGTCCAGGGAATTCTGCCTCCTTCCAATGGCTCCACTGGACACTATTAAATAGGGTCATGCTCCTATTCCTGGTTTACAAATGTAGAAACTGAGCTTAGTGACTGCAAGTGTCTTTGCGACAGCTATTGATCACAACAAAATATTTTACATAAGCTAATGTGGAGATTGAAAAGTCCTCTGCTGCTCTGGTACACCATTATTTAGCACCTATCTTTCCTGATAAGGGTCACTATGGGAAATAGCGAGACCCAAGACTGCAAAAACAAATTGGTTGAGATGCTAGTCCCTATCTCCATGGTAACTCAAACAGCTCCCCAATGGATCTTCCCAAGCAAAAGACTCAATCTCATCTCATCACAGTCAAAAAAATTACAACTCATGACCATACTAAGGGTGCTGTTGTGTCAGATCTCCCTCTCTATGTTCCCAACCTGAGAAGTACACAGGATACTTTCAAGCAAGGAATGATAAGAGTGTCATCTGTTAACTATCAAGAATTTAATTAGCTCAACTAAATCCAAGGCCTTATTTGTACTTCTTGGAAACAAAACTCCTGTGAAAACTGCATTTTTATCTTCCTCCAAAACAAATATTTGTCTAACATGATGCTATAGTTTAAAAGTCTATCTCCTCTGAAACTCATGTTGAAACTTAATCACCATTGCAACATATAAGGAAATATCTAATAAGGAAGGTGAGAAATCTACCTATGGTATTTGAAATATGAATCATTTCACAGGTGATGTGGTCATGAGAGCTCTGCCCTGATGGATGAATTAACACATTCATGGATCAAAGAAACAATGGTTTAATGGATTAATGGGTGACCAAGAGAGTGAGACTGGTGGCTTTATAAGAAGAGGAAGAGAGACCTGAGTTTGCACATACTAGCACCCTCACCACATGTGATACCTTGCATCACCTTGGGACCCTGCAGAGAGTCCTCACCAGCAAAAAGACCCTTGCCAAATGAGACCCCCCAACATTGAGCTTCCCAATCTCCAGAACTGTGAGAAATAATTGTCTTCTTTATAAATTACCCAGGTTCAGGCATTCTGTTATAAGCAACAAAAAATGAACTAAGACATTTTATAACTAATTCTAATATGACCATCCACCTACTCTACCTACCTCAGGACCTGGTCCAACTGGTTGGAATCTATGTCAACACTAATAGGCTGGTCATTGGCTGGGACTGAAATGTAGCCTGTACTACGTACTAAGGAAAGCAAATAGTCTTGCTCTGCAAGGGGAAATAATAGAAGGCATGTTCCTTGAGCCACTTAATTCCACAGAAGGTAACGCCTACTAAGAGACTTACCTACTAAGAATTATGCTGAACGTGTGAAGAAAAACACTATGTATTGGAAGAACATCCTGACCACCCCATGTCTCTCATCTACTCACTTGTGTATTAAAGCACTCATCTGTACTTTTAAAGCTATGCTCCAAGAGCTTAGGGTACAAAGATGACTAAGGCCCAGACATTATTCTGGTTGAAGATAAACACAAATATACAGATAATTAAAGCAAAGACAAGTGAAGCTGATGGCTGCAACAAGCAGTATAGATTCATGCTGCTTCTTGAACATTCCCTGAGATGGTCCTGCAGTAGACAGCAATTTACAAAGATTCTGAACAAAATAATAGCCCCCT